TTTTTAAAGTCAGGTTTTTATGAGTTATTTAAAAAATACTATTAATATAGTGAGAAATCGGTTCTTAGCAGAAACTGAATTGACATTTTGAGTAACTCCTATGGAGGACTATGCATAATGAAATTTGTTTAAATGCCTGTGTTTACTGATATATGAGTTAGTGACTATGTCTGAAGTAACACACACAGTACATTCAGTAAAAACTAAAGTTCTAATCCAAAATACATGTGATCATTCTTAACTACACATACAAAGTAAATTTCTCTTCCATAAATGTCTTAATCCCACCAATGTAAATTCAATCTTAAATAACATTTCATTTATTCGCTTATTCTTTCAGTCATTCAGCAAATGTTTTCGAGACATTAGCATTAGTCAAACTCTGTGAGATGCACAGAAGACAACAGCAAACAATTCCCTTTCTTCACGGAGCCTTCAACCAGTCAATAATATGGACTAGACATGACCAATACAACATGGAAGTGGTGAGTGCTATTAAGAAGGAAGTTCGAGGAGAGCATGAAGGAGATGCACTTAAAAAAGAAAAAGAAAAGCGTCCTGAAACCACTTATACAGACACTTAAAGAATAAGGGAGAGCCGGCTCAGTGGCTCAGCCTGTAATCCCGCGCCTTTGGGAGGCTGAGGTGAGTGGAATGCCTGAACCCGCGGGTTCGAGACCCGCCTGGGCAGCGAGACTTCATCTCTACAATAAATCAGAAAATCAGCCTGGCGTGGTAATACATGCCTGTAATTCCGGCTACTTGGAAGGCTGAGGCAGAAGGATCGCCGGAGCCCAGCAGGTCGAGGCTGCGGTGGCCAGGAACAGCCACTGCACTCCAGTCTGGGCGACAGAGTGAGACTCCAACTCAAAAAAAAAAAAAAAAGAATAAGGGAGGAGAGTGCTCAGCCAGAGGAAAGGACGAGTGTCAAGACCCCAAGGTAGAGAACCATGTATTCTGAAAAACTGATATTAGGTCAGACTGGGTAGAGTGCAAAAGGAAGAAGTGATGCAATTTGAGGCTCAAATGCTACATGGTCCATAGGAGAATCTTGTGTCCAAGGTGGGGTTCCCAGAAAACAGACACAGAGATTGAAGTTTTTATGTAGGAAGTTTATGGGGGAGCTTTCAAGATCAATACCTATGGGGAAACTAAGAAAGCAAACTGCTCAGCTTCTCGTTGTGTATGCCGGGGGAGAAATTGGGCTGCAATATGGCCACAACAAAGGCTTCAGGCAAGACCACATGGAACTCAGAAATCGGGATAGACCTTCAGTGTTGTTCCCAATTTGAATAGGAGCTGGAATTGTATACTCCCATTGGAGCATGCATTGGATATAGACTTGGAAAGGTATGACCTTGGACAATTAGATTTTCTTCAGTTGAAGGAAAGTCCCAGGAAGGGGCACAATTGAAAGACGTTGGCTGCAACACTACAATGAATGCTTGAGTTCTTGGTGGGGGTAGGGGAATGCATCTAGGAAGTGCTCCTCAGTGTAAATGAAGCATGTTAAGGATACGTCTTACAAATCAGGTCAGGACAATGGTAAGCCTGAGTTTTAGGCATTGAAGAGTCACAACCTGGCATATATTTAGGAAGGTCTTTCTGGCTGTAATATGAGCAACAGACTGGAGAGAAGCTTGACTAGTGGCAGAGAGACAAGTTAATTGGTAGTGAAAAATCCCACAGATGCTGGTGACCTGACATAGGGTAGTGGCAGTAAGAATGGAAAGTTGCAGATGAATCTGAAGGAAGTAGGAAGGGCAAGACTTAGAGATTGGATGTGAAAAATTTAGAGAGGGAGGAATCCAAGTTGTAACCCGAATTTCTGGCTTGGGCACTCATGTCAAGAAACAAAGCAAGATAATTGTTTGTCATTGTGTTTTTAAATTGTTGTTATGTCATTGTATTTTTTTTTAAGGTAGGGAGGAGTGCAATATGTGAATGCTAAACTCAGATTTGGAAATGTTGGGTGTAAAGTGAGTTTAACAGAGACATAACATGTATATGGAGATTACAAAAAAGCATGCATAAAGGTCTGGAGTACAGGAAAGTGATATGTGCCAGAAATGTGAGGGCATATACATGTAGACAGCAATATGGGGACACATAGACAATAACTGTAACCAACAAAAAGATCAGGATAGCCTGGAAAGGTTTATAAGTGAAGAAAATAGGAGGCCTAGAATAAAACCATGAGATTTTTTTTTCTTTTTCAATGACACATTCATTAAATTCTTGCCCTGTGCTTTCAACATCATTAAAGAGGAGAGGGGGAAAAAGTAGTATTTTCTGAGCACCTCTGGTGTGCCAAACATATTAACTAATTGCCTTACTTTACAACTTTATGCTTTTATTATCTATCTATCTATCTATCTATCTATCTATCTATCTATCTATCCATTTATTGAGTAGGCATCTCACTCTGTTACCCAGGCTGGAGTGTAGTAGTGCCATCACTGTTCATCACAGCTTCGATTTTCTGGGCTCAGGGGAGCCTTCTGTCTCAGCCTCCTCAATAGTGGGTACTACATGTGTGCTACACCATGTCTGGCTATTTTATTTTTGATTTTTTATTTTTTTGTAGAGACAAAGTCTCACTATGTTGTTTAAACTGGTCTTAAACTCCTGGCCTCACACAAACCTCCCACTTTGGCCACTCAAAGTGCTAGGATTACTGGCATGAGCCACCATGCCCAGCCTAACCCTATGATTTTAGATTATCATCCCCATTTAAAAAATGAGAGAAAAGTCTAAGAAAATATAAGTAAGTTTTATGTCACAATACTATTAATTAGTAGAGCCAGAATCTCAATCCAGATCTGCCTATGTTTTCCTATGATCTCGACAGTATCTTATAGCTAACTATAAATGATTAGGTAAGTAATGAATATTCACTATGAATTATAGTTTTTATAATTATTATTTTATTTTGGTTTATATAATATACTAACTTTAAATATTACAAAGTGATACTAGAAATTAGAAAATTCAAATTTTCCTTGTGGAATAGAGATAGAGTCTCCTATATTCTCAAAACTTAAAGATGTAGCATACAAATTAGCAACTTTGTAAAAAAAAAGTTTGATTTGTTCTGAGGGAATTAAAAATATATAGTAATAGGCATTTAGGACAAAATTACCTCACAACAAAAAGTGTATGCACTATTAGCACTGATGTTATTTATTTATGTGTAGCTAGAATACCCATACATGACCCAAGCTTTAGAAAATAGCTGAAAGAATTTTGAAGACTATGAATACACAGAAACTTATCATTGGCTTTCTTGCAGGATTTCTGGCGGTTGCGGGGGGAGCAGGAATGGCTTCTGTTGATAGATATGCAATAGCAATGCTTAATCAGTAGTGTGAGCTAGTTTATATGTGCAAAGTCCTTTCTAACACACTTTGATTCAGAGAATAAGAGCTCAGTCTTTCTGTTGAGGAACTGAGAAGAGATGGTAACATTGCCAGAAGAACTTTCAGCTGTGCTCATAAGTGGGGCAACCATCCATCAGCAGTTGGCCTCCTATGGATATAACCTTTACACGGACGATAGCACAGACTTCATAAGGGAGCCATTCCCTTACCAGTTCCAGTGGTGAGGCATGAATACGTTATTATATTTTAGAAAAAGGTCATTTAGGTCCAGTGTGATTATGACTGACATATACTTTGAAACTGCAAAGCATTGTGCTGTTATTATCAGTGTTAAATTACACTTATTTCAGGATTCCTTGCAATCCCCCACCAGGAACAGAAAGAAGACCTCCTTTAAAAATCTTTTTTTATTTCATTAAGTTTCTTTAGGAAGTTGGTTTTGACATTAAGATTTAAGTAGGCTAGAAGCTGGCTTGTAGTCCTAGAAAAATTCTCTTGCTATCTGACAAAAGAAATGATTCGAACTGTGCAGATTTTATTCATCATGAGCACGGTTTTTAAAAAAGATAAAAATAAAGAAGATTGTGTTTTCTTTGGAAAATGTAACATCATACACTTTTTAGAATCTGAAGGGATTAAAATGCACTTATGTTTTGTCTCATTTATTTTGTGCATGAGTATACAGATGCACAGATGGAAAATATATTTAAGGTTATACAAGAACAGAGTATTTAATGGTAAAAGTAGGATTATTAATCAAGTTACTTAAAATCCCAAATCCAAAACATGTGGCACAATACTACTTTGCCTTGCTTTGTGATATTTTGATAAAAATAAATATGAGATGCCAAAACACTACCAATCAATATGTTCTAAGTAAAAATGTTAAGCTATATATTTAGAAATTTCAAGGACATGTTATAGACTTATACTAAAACTAAAGACTTGTAATTTGCTTAGGGCAATGACATTGTTTAATTTTTAAATATCACATAAAATTATTCCTTTAATAAACTTTATCTTTTTGCCCTCATTTTTAAACAAATAAGTATTCTCTGTCATTAAAGATAAGAAATAAATTGCTGGGACAGAAATTAATAGGCAATAGAACTTGATGAATTCTCTTGGAGAATATTTTTATGATGAAAGCTTGGCAACTGTGCCTGTGATTAATCATGATAATGCACAAACCCTTAGCTACAGATTAACTGGCCTTTTCTTTCTTTCTAGCATATTCTTCTCTTTTTCTTTCTTCTCCAAGGAGGATTAACCACTCCACTCTCTCTCTTGACTGTGTAGTGTTCCCTGTGATGCCCCTATCTCCAAGTCTCTATCCAAATTCCACTTTTCTCATGAAGATCTCTCAGCTCATCAAACAAGGAAGTGGCCAAATTCTCCTTTAAACTCCAATATATTTCTGGAACACAACACTAACCATACAGAGTAATATGTTCATGTCATACATTCCCAGACCTTCAATAGTCCAAAAGGATTGAATTGTATACTGACTTCTGGAGGACAGGACAACCAAGCAGAAGGATGGGTAATCAATAAATATTGCTTGCTGTTAGCTAGGGTGAATATACAGCAGATGGCTGAGTACATCAGAAGCAAGGATACCTTGAAAGTTCAGTCACTCAGTGGATCAGAGATTAATGCATATGCTGAAAGTAGGCCTTCTCCATGCACAAGGGACATTTCCATTCTTTCCACCTTTCCTGTAACAGATAAGTGAGAACAAAAACAAAGTTTCTAAAAAGTGCAAAGAATACATTTCCAGTTTACTAGAATCTGAAGATTTATTTAACTAAAATAGTCTTCCTTTGTCTTACTAAGAATAAAATTTACCATTTTTGCATGAGGGCAGAAGGGAGGTTGGAAGAGAACACTATTGACTGCCTATCACTTGCCAGTGACTAACATATATCTTCCCACTAAAGTTAAAAACAATCCTATGAGAAAGGCATAATTAGTCCCATCTGCCCCTACAAAATTTACCCTGGATGCTAAGGAACCAGGATTACAGAGAGAATACAATCAAGATGTGGTATTTCTTGTAGGTAATATTTTTTCTGCTTTGTTTTATAAAATAAGTTTATATTAAGAAATGAAATAACTTATGTGTGTTCAATATTTATAAATGTAATATGTTAAATGCTATTATTTATTAAATAAAACTTGTATTTTATTGGGACTCGAAAAATTAAATATTAAATCACTAATATATAACATTTAAAAAGTGTCTTATATTTAGTAATGTAAGGAAGAGTGTGTGTCTGAGTGTGTTCTAGAATTTTTTTTTTTCCTTTAAAAGAAATACTAATAAAGGTCAGGCATTGTTTCTTATTCTTGTAATTTAGAAGTCCAGGTGGGAGAACTGCTTGAGGCCAGGAGTTAGAAAGGAGCTTGTACAATATAACAAGACTCTATCACTACCAAAAAAAAAAGAAAGAAAAGAAAAGAAAAACACTACTTAAAGTCAATTTTTTTCTTCTGTGTATGCCAAAGAAGCCATGTGGGGCAATAGCAATATTCAAGTTTCTTCCAACCTCCAAATCCTATGGTTGGTTGATTTATACCATACCTTAATGTCAGAATTAGAGGCAAATTTTTACTACCTAATTAAGCCTGCTGACAGAGTAATTTCTTGTATGTGCAAAATGTGGTTGCATTTGGAATGCTATTGCCTGTCCTCTGCAAAGAGGGCAGTGCCTTCAAATCTAAAGACTTTTGCAGCTGTTCAGCTAGTTGACTAATCACTTCTGAGATTTTCTTCCCCAAAATAAAAATCATCTGGGAACTAATTGCTACAAATATATCAAAGCTTGGCATTTCTGAAGATCTGATCATCACTGAATTTCATGAGCCTCAGCCCATCTCTGAAATCATGAGTTTCACTTTTGAAATTCCAAGTGAGAGCTGGAGTGGTAACAGATTCTCTGTGGCAGGTTTGGGTTAGTATTTGACTTTCTTCTCTCATGTTTCCAACCTCACATCCATGTAGTGCTGCATGGGGCTAGTAGAATCCTACAGTGTGATGTGCTGCATAGCACACCACATGCAGAGTTCCACGACCTGGGATACATTCTGAGCTCCATCTTAATAGAGACATGGAATTAGGTAAGTGACTGCCTTATGTACCTGTCTTGGTTCATTTATGTTGCTATAAAGGAACACCTGAGGCTGGGTAACCTATAAAGAAAAGAGGTCTATTTGGCCCATGGTTCTGCAGGCTGTACTAGAAATGTGGCACCAATATCTAGTGTGTGTGTGTGTGTGTGTGTGTGTGTGTGTGTGTGTGTGTGTGTGTGTGTGTGTGTGTGTTGGAGTCTCACTCTGTCGCCCAGACTGGAGTGCAGTGGCCGTACCCGGCCACCACAGCCTTGACCTGCTGGGCTCCGGTGATCCTTCCGCCTCAGCCTTCCAAGTAGCTGGAACTGCAGGTGCACGCTACCACGCCAGGCTAATTTTATTTATTGTAGAGATGAGGTCTCACCAAGTTGCCCAGGCGGGTCTCGAACCCGCGGGCTCAGGAAATTCACTCACCTCAGCCTCCCAAGGTACAGGATTACAAGCTACTTTTGATGAGGGTCTAAGGAAATGTCCATTCAAGGCAGAAAGTGAAGGGGGGCCAGTGTGTACAGAGCTTATGGAAAGAGAGGAAGCAAGGGGAGAGGGAAGCCAGGCCTTTTTTTCCTTTTTTTCTTTTTAACAACTAGCTCTCTAGGAAACTAAAAGAATGAGAACCCACTCATTTCCATGAGAACAGTATCAAGCTATCATGAGTGATAGCTCCCATTAGGTTCCACTTTCAACATAGAGAATCAAAATTCAAAATGAGGTCTGGAGGTCAAATACCCAAGCCATAGCACCACTCCATGTGGATTTAAATAAGAACCCAGGTTTCTAGGGGATCAAATAATTGAATATGCTCTCTAAATTATAAAGCACATTCATACAAACATATAATATGATCAGCATTTATCTGTTATTAGCTCAGCATTCTCATCAACTTCTTTGGTTATAGAAAGGCAAGAGTCTCAGCACATATATTGTCACTATGAAAAACATGTTTCGAGAATTTGCTTAAGTTTTTCATTATCCAGCTGTATCTACAAAAACTAATCTTAGCTGTTTATTCATTACAGTTATATTGATTTTTCATTTATTTGACTCCAAGCCCTGCTACTGACTACCCTCTGGCAAGTTATCTAATTTTTGCAGGTCTTTTCTTTAACTGAAAATTGGGAGGTTATGGGGTAGGATAGGAAAGAGATGAGGCAAAAGGGTTGGTCTAGATTGCTCAGCTAAGAAAGGATAGCTTAGTTCTCCACCCTTAGAAAGAGTTCTAAGCCTTAAGCAGAGGGAGCACTGCTGGTTTGGAGTATTATATACTCACAGATCTTCACATAAAAATGTCTGAGGGAACTAAGACTTGCTGTTGGAATATAGCATTTCTAAAGCTGGTTCAAAGTACAAGAGCCTAACTTGCAATTCTGATACAAAATTCCTGAATGCTTTGTCAAAGCAATAAACAAAGTGTGACACAAGAAATGTTTGTTGACTGCTTGAATTGCTGACACTCTAAAAAAATATACAGAGCATGTTGAACAGTATGGAAGCCTATCATGGGAAAACATAAATTCCAAAAACAAATAAACTATAAGAAAAGAGTCAGTAACCTAACTGTGAGATTGTGAGAAAATTATGTGCACTCTTTTTCCATTTTTTGAATAGGTGGTGAAATATGGTCATCACCTATTATAGGGTTCTTATAACAATAAAATAATAAAACAAATGTGAGAGTTCTGGAAACTAAAGCATCTTATATCATATAGGGAGAAATATGTAATTTAAAAATGTGTCAAAAAATCTTGATGTCATTTCTGCAATTTTTAGGTATTTAAAAATAGGCTATCAATGTCTAACTTCTCAAAAGAGAGAGGGATTTTTTAAATTCTTACATATGGATTTAATAAAATAGGTGGAGCACAGTCAAACCAGAGCTGATACCAAGACTAGATTATAATTTATGTTTTAAAAGATCAAATAATTGCCTGAATTGGATTTTGGAAGTACAGATGTTGCTTATTTTAAGAAATAAATTTCAGGCTTGGTGGCTCAGCCTGTAATCCCAGCACTTTGGGAGGCTGAGGCAAGTAGATTGCCTGAGCCCACAGGTTCAAGAGCAGCCTGAGTAACTTGGCAAGACCTCATCTCTACAATAAAAATAAAAAATTAGCTGGGCTTGATAGCATGCACCTGTATTCCGGCTACTTGGAGGCTGATGCAGAAGGATCGCCTGAGCCCAGTGTAGATACTGGGGTGGCTGTGAGCATGCCACTGCACTCCAGCCTGGGCAATAGAGTGAGACTCCAACTCAAAAAAAAAGAGAAAAAAAGAAAGATATTTATTTGTGGAGTAAGCTAAGTGTAAAGACAATTTTTAAATGACATTTTTGATAAAAATTTGGTGATCTCTTACAAAGTGAAGTATCTTTTTATAGGATATATCATTACTCCTAGTATTTTCTATTTAATAAATTCATGTTTGGCTTTCTTAAAGTAGATGGGTTCATCTTCATTTTATTAATAATTACAATTTTTAAATTGCAATGAACAGTAATTGAATGCATATTGTGTTCCAATAAGGCTTTATTTTTGGTACTAAAAATTCAAAGATGAATAATCCACAATCTTTGCTTTCAAATAGTTAACCAATTAGTTGAGATTGACGATACAAGCCAATATACTTGATAAAATAATATAAGCACCTTTATAGACCACAGAAATATCCCAGTGAGCATTAACCATTTCCACTAAGGTGCACGGAATTAGGAAAGACTGCCTGATGCCTATCACTGATACCTATTACTGTATCAATGTCATTTCACTTTTGGGAAAGGACCACAGATAGAGTAATGAAGCCGGGCTTGTTGGATGAGGGGAGAAAGCCTAAGCATATTTACCGAGGCATGAAATAGCTTAAGGATTTCTCATATCTGTAAGCAATTCAATGAAATGGAACTCTGACCAAAATAGGTACATGGAAAAGTAAACTCTTGTTTCTCTTGAACTGGTCTGTGAATTATCCACAGATCTAGAAAGGAGTTTCTGAGAAAGGATAACTATATGGGAATTGACTAGAAATACAAGGAGGGAACCCAAAAAACCCCAAATTTACTTATGAAAAGTTTTGTATTTATTCTTACATATTTATACTTCAGTCACCTTTAAATTACTCTCTGTTTGATACAATACACCTATCGAGATACTTTTTCTACTGCTCAAAACAGTTTTTGAACCTGGCAATTTTGAGTTTTTTTAGTGTTTTTGCCATTTTTTGTTTCACCTCTTCCACATCGTCAAAAGGTTTCTCTTTAAGGACATTTTTCATCAAGGAAACAAAAAAAGGTCCCTGGGAGCAAGATCAGGTAAATAGAGAGGGTAAGGCATGGGCGTCTTGCTATTTTGCTGAATACTCAATGCAGTTTGGCAGGTATACTTATAAAATCATTCATCACGAAATGGGTAAATGCATTAAAAGAATCTCCCCCCCAAAATTTACTGAAGCTGAACGCAGCCTCTCACAACACACTAGCTGGTACACTGATTCTGATGGCTACTTAGAACACTTACCTAGCAGGGGAAGCCTGTACTATAAGGCACCGGCCCTCCAAAAAGTAATTCTGTCTTTTTTTTTTCAGTCCCCCTCATAA